GTCCTGGGCAGACTGTCTGCTGAGGTTCAACTTCCTGATGAGTCGGTGAAAGGCCGACGAAATAGTCTGCCGCAATCATTCATATTGGGTCGAGTTTTTGTATAGCGAACATGACAAAGCACACACGCGCCCACGCAGGACATACGAGCACGCACACACACAATACTCTGCCGCAATCATGTGCTTTGTCATGCTCGAGCGTTTGTATAGCGAACATGACAAAGCACACACGCGCCCACGCAGGGCATACGCGCTCGCACACACACACACACACACACACACACACAAAACAGACACTGAAAAACAAACACAAAACACAGGCGCACGGGCTGAGGCCCGAGGGAGCAAAAACAGCGTGTAGAAGAGCGACGGAGAGAGGGAAAGATGGAAGTTCTGGATGGGTGAGGGCCAGAGAGAGGGGAAAAGGCCCACACATGGAGATGCAGTATACTACCGGGGCCAAGTCCCACATGCACCGTTGAACTAGCTCAACGCAACGGTGTGACACGGTTTTTGCGACTTAAAAACTCAAAACAAAGGCAAAACTGGAGAATAAAATGCTGCTGAAAGCTTTTTTCCCCCTATTTCCCAAAAAACAATGAATGACCAGGAGGGAGATCCCACTAGCATTGTATGTGGAGTAGTGTAGAGGGCGTGTGACCCGCCTCCGCCGTCGATGGGCGGTGGTTTTGTTTTTCCTGTATTTTAGCCCTCGAAAATATATGTTTTTTTGGAGCATCCCATTGGGTGGTCTTTCTTTTGTTTTGCTTGCCGTGTTCCTCTGGGGGTCCCGAACGTGAGTGAAAATCAGACCCATTTTTTTTGTGTTGCTTTTCACTCACCTTTCACTCACCTTTGGGTTGTGGCCCATGCGTGGAAGAGAGGCCGAAAACAAAATTTTTCGGTGTTTYCCATCATGAGGGAATGTCAGTCCGTGTCAGACCCTCGTCCAAGTTGTCTGTAGTCTCCGCAAATGTTTCACATGGGCAATGCTTTTGTCCTCTTCCTTTGACATGCATGTGCCCCCTTATTTTTTGGGAGGTGTTTGGGAGGGTTCGATCCCCTCACCTACAGCAAATGGTGTATGGAGTTACTCTTGCCCTTGTTTTTTTACGTTTATTTTCCCTATTTCACGCTGCCACCCACCTGTCCCCCACCCGTCCCCCACCCGTCACACTAATCCACATACCTGGCTAGTGGGATCTCCCTCCAGGGGTCTAGTCCCACCTACAGCGTTGAGTTTTCTCAACGCTGAGCTTTCTATCACGTGTGGCATGGTGGGACGGAGCTCTGCCGTTGATGTATTGCGAATCTAACGGTACCAAAATACAGGAGAATAACCTATTAGATTTAGTCATTTTGCAGAATTTTTTTTTGACGTGAAATCCGTTTTGTAGTATGCGTTGGCCCTTTTGGTTTGGGCGGGAAGCCATTTTCCGTTGAGAAAACTACCCTACC